GGTCCGAGGTTTGAGCCCGCCCCAACCTCCACCAAACTTTGGAGGTACAAGCAGCTTTGCTGTTGTCCGGTTCAACACCCCACGGCTAACCTAGCGCGGGGCTCTATGTGGTTCGCCAATACAAGTCCAGCGCGGGCTTAGGTTACCGGTTTCCATCACAGAACAGCAGCAGGTCTTCGTGACTCTGGGGTCCAGTCCTTCTGCTGTTCATCACACTAAGGTGCCTAATAAAAAAAGATCAGCAGTATAATCTACACTGAAAATCCTTCATATTCCATCTTCTCTGACGATCCCCGACTCATCCGGTCGACCATACATTCCGCCAGCTGCAGTGTCCAGTTCTGTTGCGGTTGAACTTCTTCACTAGAGGGCACATTCATCAGCCTATCATGTGTGATTCAAGGTTCGAACCCTTCACGTAGGAGGCGCGTGTATGTATGTGTTGCCACTACAATAACCAGCGTCCATCCGGTCTGCTCCGAATCACCAATTGAAGCTCATGCCTCGTGTTAAATGAGAGTCAGTCATTTAATTTGACTCGACAGCAAACAGGCCACACAGTATACAGTCAGGTAATTCCTACTTTTGATTAATTGATTGGGACTGATCATCCTTCAGATGCACATTCTTCAGCTCATCCAGTCAACCATACCTCAAAGCAGTAGACTCATGGCAACCAGCTCGTGGCACAGTAGTAACACACGGTGCGACGGTGGAACTGCACTACTGATGAGCTCTTATAAGAGCGAAACTCGAGTCTAGTGCTTCCGAGTGTATGATTGACTGGAGGAGCTGAGGAATGCGCGTGAAGGTAGAGTCTGAAGGATGGCCAGTCCTAATCAATCAATCAATCAATATCAATTATCTCACAACACTATTCACAAGTAAGTGAGTTAAATGCCAATTCTTACTTTACTGGAAATGTCTGGAATTTCACCTTCCCATCACCACCGCTTGGCGTTCTCATCTGTGTGGATGATTAAACGATTGAATATTTCAAATCCTAAGGGTTTGTAATCTGCAATGATTAGGATCTGATTGGATATCAACAGTAGTGTGCATTAAATTAGCATGATAACATTCCTCTGCTCAAATTGATTGAGGAAACAAACCAGTTACTTGTGCCAAAATGTATCGATCGACACTCATCACTGAAGCCCTGTATCTATGTCCCCTGCACACTCAGAATAGATAAAATAATCTGAAAATCTGTGTGCTGTTGCAGCAAATTTCGTTTTAAAATAAATTCCCCAGACAGACCTCATTTAGTTGAGGAAAGATTTAAAAAAAAACACTGTTTTCAGTCCGAATAAAGTCAAAGTTTTATAATGGGAAATACTTACAAGCGATTGCTTTTCTAGCCCCATAGGATTTGGCACAGATGAATCGGTTCATAGTTCATACAAAGTAGGTGAATGTCACAATTTGTCCTTTTTTGTGCTCTTCTACAGATGTTGAAATTTAAGATTTTTCAAAGCTCCATCCAGTTTGTGCTTGTATGAATCAATTGTGGGTGCAGAAACAACGTGTGGTGGTAGAGAATTCCAAGTAATGCACACTCTGAGGGCGAATGAATGCCGCCGGCATTCTAGTCGGCATTTTTGGAGCACTAATTTGAATGAGTGCCCCGCAGGTGAGTGTTGGGCGACAGGGAAAAGAGTGGACGATATAGGTGGTCTGGGTTCTGCATTATTTGGTATACCAAGATCAAATTTCCTCGAATGCGGCGATACTGTGTGGAGTACAGTTGCAGTGAGTCCAGTCTTTCCGCATAACTTTTGGAATACATTCCTTTGACCATTTTGGTGGCCATTCTTTGTGGACGTTCCAGATCGCGTTCTGATCGCGTTGCAGCCATGGATTCCATGCTTGAATGGCGTACTCTGTGTGGGGTCGAATGCAGGCTGATAACAATCGTGGGAACAGTGTAGATTCAAATTTGCCAAGTACTCACTTTTAGCAAACCAACATGTCTTACAGCGGTAGACAACGCCCAGGAGCAGTTTAAGGAACAGCTTAGGTTTACTTGAACAATGATGCCGAGATCCTTCTCATTCAAAACGTACGGAAGTTGTTGCCCTCCCAGGAAATACGGAAACCGAGTTTTGTGTCGAAGGGATACGACCGTACATTTTGATGCATTAAATTCCATATCATTTTCGATCGACCATTGGTAGGCAGCATTAAGTGTTCTTTGGATTTCTAGGCGAGTCCTCTGGTTTAGTCACCGTTTTCCATATTTTTGCATCGTCTGCAAACATTAATGTATTTTGGCCCGAGAATGTCCGTTAGGTCAAAAAATGATACCAGGAAAAATATCCCGCCTCAAATCCGCTCACTTTATTCATCACTTAAGGTAACCAATTTTGGTTAGGGCGTTCACACGAGACGGACAAATTGTAGTCTTGCCTGGACTAACCCAGCGATGGCACAGATACTCGTACTAAACCTATTAACATGAATTCCCACTTGGTAACTCTTCTGTCTGTCTGTCTGTCTGTCTGTCTGTCTGTCTGGTTTCGACGGTCCCGAAATGGTCCCGAATACCACCTGTCATTTGTTACCTTTTCATATCCAACTGCGTCTATATTCGTCTTCCGATCGCGAGAATCGGTGCTCATCTCCTTTAATCCCAATTTCTTTTGGTATAAAATGTTGTCGAATTTGTGCCGCCGCCCCGCCCCGCCCCCTCCTCCTCCCACACACACACACACACACACTCACACCGGAAGAGAACAACGCAAAAGAAAACGATTGCTCGACTAGACTATTCGGAATCCTTTGTTTGATTGTGGCTAGTGGTCTAGGGCACTATCATCATCGAGGTGTTTCCCGCTCTCCGGGGGTTACGTCATGTTTGAACATCGTTCATGTTACCTGTCAAAAGTCAGTTCTTCAGGAAATTTCCCCCAGTCCACTGGACACGAATCACATGTGGAAAGGTGTTTATATATACCCCCGAACCAATCAGATTGTTCGGCG